CCGTTAAAATCGTGTACAGTCCTTTACAAACTTTATCTTGGTTTGCAAGATTTGAGGATCACACAATGGTGAAGAGGTCGATGTTGTTACAACGCGTTTTAACGCTGTGTGGACTTAAAAATACAAACTTTTCTGGGAAACAAACTGTATTAATCTTCAGCACCGAAGATGGAAACGTTGGTATCTAGTTACAAGTCCACAAGGCTTTATAAACCACAAATCGATCATCGACACCTAATCGCAGATTTTCTTAAAATGAAATGATGTGCCGATCCATTACGTTTCGACATTTTATGACTTAATTCACGATAACGATCACCAATAATTTTGTGCAGAAATTGTCGTAACACCAAACGAATATAATATAAAATTTTGTTTAAAATTGATAAAAGGGAAATTACTGCTGTCATTTTTTTATCCTGATTCTCAAACATACAAATATATTTTTCTGAGTATTAATTTTTTTATTACGCAAACAGAGAATATTTCGGAAGCTGGCTCTGCTACTATTCTCAGATGGATGAAGCTAATTGTAATCATTTAAAAACAATTTTTTGTTAGAAGACACACTTGTTGACTTGCATGAGTTTAATGATGTGAAAAACTTGTGGAAATGTAACTAACAATTGTTGTTAGACTGTACACAAATCATGAATGCAGAGTTAACATTTTGGGATAAATTTCTTTATGTAATAATTTTGAACGGTTAACCGTACTCAAGTAGAATTCTTACATATTTTGTAAGTGCGTCCAGTGCGATTTTACATACTTAATTTAATTATACTTTAATGTTCATTTATTGAAATCAAATATGTTTAAAATCATAACGACAGTCAGCTCAGTGGAAAACATGTGATTTTGTCTTTGTTAATGCATAAAAAACGTGGTGGGCCTATGTAGAAGGCAAATAATGTTGTACCTGGTGCTTTAACCAAACACCACGTTGTGCACACGTGTGGCATGTAAGTGTAGCTTCGCTGACTCTTAACCTCGGCAATGGATGAGTGGTTAGCTTGACCCCGTCGCCTTTTCCCTCAACAAAAGAGCACCGGTGCTCTTTCGATAGGAGGCTGGGTTGGCCCCATGGACAGTCTGGACCATTAAGTGAAGAGAAACATGTTGCCCGGCTGATACTGTATAAAGTAAGAACTATGTTTTATGCAGTAGTCTACGCACATACAGTTTATTTGTGCAAAGAGCCTTTGTGTTTCAAATTAATAAATTGTGATTTACATTACAGAAAAATAAGTGTTATGTTGGAACGACAAGCACAGAAACATTTCAGGCCTACTTATGTTATTTTGCTTTACTTCAATACAACTGACACAATTACAGTTTAGCAATTACGGTTTTGTGGTACATATTTTTCTCTTGAACGTTATATTTTTTGTACACTCATTCACTGCATAAGCAAGTTGGATTACCTTAATATCTTTAAATTGTGAATAAGAAATTTACGAAAATATATAATACTTTTTATGCAAAAAGTAAAGGTTAAGAACAACTGATCTAGAACACTGAATTCTTCTGTCGGTTTATCGTTGATGAAAATTCTTCAGTGTTACTTTACGTACGCTACGTGATAACATCTATCACTAATTCCGGTACGCATATTTTTTCATACATTACTTAATTCAGAATTGTTTATACAAGACTGTGACATGATACTGGAAATAAAGAGCTATCGTTTTGTAAGGACAATGTATAGAAATCACTGTCTTTGAGAAAAGCACGAGGCACCTTTATTTCAAATGTGGACTTTACCATCTCTGTTTGGAATTAATATCATGTCTACAGATAGAGATCAAGCTGTGTGTTTCAACACATGTCGTATTCTTAACTGGTTCTGGTCTGCACCGTTAAAAAATAATCCTTTAAAGATAATGTATAATCCGTCTTCTTTAACGCTTGTAAACTAGAATGTAATATTTTTACAGACGGTAAGTATAATGTTGTTTATTAAACAGCATAAAATTTAGAATGCCGTGTGTTGGTTCCCATTTGTACGAAATTCAAACAATTTCAATAATTGCATAAACCAAGAATAAAATACAGTTATGGAAGTCATCATTCAAATTCAATAGTATTTCAATAATTTATTAAAAACGATTATAAAAATAAATTTATTTAGTGGTTCTGTTTTGTTGAGAGATGAAGACTGAACGTTTAACACAGACTCTCATAGATTTTTAACGAAAGAAAACGAAGAGCTTCTTTCAGAGTTAAAGTTGATTATTGTATAGGCTATAGACTACTTGTTAAGGGAGTCGAGTTCAGAAAACCAGGTTTTATTCCCTTCTGCAGTCCAAAGCATTTTACAATCCACACGTTTATAGATTTTATTCAAATGTTCGTCTCGGGTTGCTACTGGCGTTTGCAGAATTTATTATTGTCAGCTATAATACACTTTCCCGCAAATTAATCAGCCATATTCATCTTTTTGTTGGACTCATGACCTACGATTTTTAACCGTTTGTACTTCCCACCAAAGAAGTTATCTTAAGTTTGAAAATATTTGTGTTGTGTCTCTTAAAATTCTTAATTTTCACATAAATTTACCAGCATTAAATTCATTTTGTCGGCAAGCACTTATGGAAAACTGTCCAGTTACCCCACAGTCCCTTATGGAGTGTTTCCGAGATGTAGCGATGCAAGGGGGTTGAAAATGCAGTGTGGTATTATATGAATCGGCTACGGAGAGCGGGACGTTATGTGACGTCACGTTCCTACTACTAGGAGGAGTGCACTCCCTTCCTCCATCGTTGGAAGGGTGGGAGGGCGGCGGAACAGTGGTGACGGTATCCTTTGCGGTGTGTGGCAGTGAATCCGCGACCACGGCGGAAGGCGGTAGTCTTGTGTTTTTCGTGCTTCTGTAAGTCCCCGCACGTGCGCCACTAGTGTGTTTGTGTCTGTGTGTGTCGGTTGAAGCATAGGAACACACAATGATTGGAGTGGTTCAGAGTGGTATGCGATAAAATCTACACGAAGCAGATATTTTGTAAAGAGGACGTTTGAATTTTGTTAATTTTTTTGTTTTGTGAGGCGAGAGACGAAAGTTGAGTTTGGAAGAAGTTCTGAATGGCGTGTTAAAACAAGTGCCGAACGGTGGTTCCACTGTCATTATGCTTACTTCTAGTGCCAACCAATACCTGCGCCCGGAGTATCTGACGCCGTTGCCCACCACGGTGAGTATCTGAGCACAAAACCATATCTTCTTTACTCTTACGGCAACACAGTGTGCAGATTGATTAATGCAGTGCGTTCGGTGATACCAGAACGACATTGACACAAGGACAGTTTTCAGAGCGATACTTGACTGGTATCGCTAAAATCTTGTATAGCTTGGCGGTGAGTCATGCAGTTCCTGCCGCGAGCCGGGAAGTGACAATTGCGTATAGATTAATCAGTGAAATTCGTTTAATAACATCAGTCCGTTCCAGAAAATGCTAAGCATTCTGACTCAGTGGAAGTTAAAAATACATTATCACTTATTCTTTTATTTACAACTTTGCATCTGTTCGGAATATTTCGATTGAATCACGCAATCAAATTTTGCCGCACTTGAATTCGCCGACAGTGGTTAACTATATTTCTTCAGATGCTCTGTTTTGTCAGTAGACGATACTGTTGTGTTGAAATTCATGTTCTTTGAAAATAAATTGTTTTATAGTGCTTTTGCTTAAAAACAGCAGCATGGATGCCACACAAGACGAAACTGGTTTTATTAACATTTGTACTCCAAACACTTAGTCTTGTGAAACGCAGATGTTTAGGACGTACAATAAAATTTTCAGTTCACTGAACTTCTGAAATTATCCGGGAATATATTTATAGATAATGACATTATTAAGACAGTCATTGCTAGTAATATAACAATGCTTGTGCAAACAAATGTGACACTGGAAAAAAGCTAGAATTACAACGCGTGTGTTTCGCTTGAGCCGCAGTGAAGGCATACGTCCAAAATTGAGGAGAAACAGTTCCGAGTTTCATGTCGTGTACAGTATGAAGCATAATTATTTGAAATTGTTGAATGTTATTAGGCAGTTCAGGAGCATGGTTCTGTAATGGCCTCTGGCGGCAAATGAGTCGTACAAAAATATTGTCATCCATTGCCCGTTATCTGGGGTATATTTGCTATAAACGACGTTTCGGGAGTTGGCACTTCGCGCTTCTTGAGTTGATACTTATTATACTGACAGATTTTTATTCGTTTTCTCTTTTAATATAGATTATGATTAGGGCAAACCCGGAATATCGTATGTATTTTGAAATAAACCCCAGATTGTGGACTTCCAACAAAATATCGGCGTAAGATATCAGTCATTGGACACAGAAACGCTTTTAAACACTAGTCAAATCGGGAGCTACGTAGAACCAAAGACATCGACCTCAGATCGTAAGACTGTGTTGATTTACCGTGTCAGTGTCGGTTAGGATTAGAGCATGTTCGTCGAATTGTGCATGAATATGGTTTTATTTTATTGGGAGTCCAATAGGCTATATGCCCGCGTCAAGTTTTCGCCTTCTCCATTGTGCCTTTGTTAGTCACGTAACTTTTCACTGACCACAGTACTCGTCGTGAGCTCGTCGTGTTCACAGCTGTCGTCGCGAACAGTGCAGAAGAAAATCGGGGCCGGATGAAATCTGATAGGCCCAAAATCAAAATTTGAAAAATACAAGTTATTAGTAAATATTCACGATTTACACTTAATGGCATTGGCAGATTCTTTCATAACGGGGAATCAACTTAAATGAAACACGTACATTCAACCGTTGTTGCTGATGACGACGCACTGTTATTTTTATCCGAAGTTGTGTTTTAGGTTGAATGAAACATTTCGACTTATGGGGTTTCTCAAATATTTTACTGGTATTTCCAAAGTTCTTGTTGTTTCGACTTACGTCAGATGGTGAGACCGTAAACTGTGTCTTATTTGGCTTGTACGCAATCCGTCGTAGAAACGAACGTATCAAGGGATCTGATTATAAACAGGAACTTATAATTTGAAGCCTGAAATTAAAAACTTGCAATAAGTTTTCTGGACAGCGCGGCCGTGGATCGAACTAACGCGTTATGAGTCGGTGCTCTCGTACTCCGTTGCTGTAAATCCCGCTACTATGCCACGAGTAAGTAACAATGCGATGTAGCGTATTAAAGAGAAGAATCCGAATTAATTATGGTGCTTACAGTTCTAATTTATGTGCTAGCAAATGTTTTAGATCTGAGAAATCAGAAATTCAGATATTTGCCACACTAATCGAACGACTTCATGTATTCATGTCAGTACAGACATTAGGAAAAGAAATTGTGAGTTAATAGTTTGATTATATTATATTAAAATAAAAGTCGAAATAAAATCGTCATGAAGATTGAGTTATTTCAAGTTCTTGGCAAAAGGAGTGTTACTCTTTTGTTAGTTCTTTTGTTTTACTGAATTAATTTTAAATTAAAATATTTTATTAACCGTTACTTTTGACAAGTTACGAAATATGTTTACGTAATACTTCATATGTAATTATAATTTTAGTATCGCGACTGGTTCGAATTAAAACAACAAATAGTTTATTGCACAGACACCTCTGATTCTAACAAAAATGGATACTCACTTAAAAGTTTATAGTCTTTGACATCGGAGCAACCTTCAAGATTTCGTATTACGTATTCTTTAAAAAAAAATCTTCCTACAGAAAATGTAAGAGTTCGGTTCGTCTCTTCGGACCAAATTAGGTAAAATTTATTACCTGTGTTGTTAATGTAAATGAATTGCGCACATTGAGAAATTATTGGACGTTTTGTTGAAAGCAGAATTGTTTGCGTATGAATATTTATTTTTGAAGAGAAAATAGAAATAATTTTCAAATTCAGTCTGAACAAGTCTCATGTGGTGGTTATGAAGAAGGATGTGGCGAAACAGATGTCATGGTTAGTGGAATAAGAGTCCTCAGGCTGGGTGTTTAATTAATAAAAAGCATGTGTTTATTTTATATAAATTATGCCATCCACAACTCATTTAATTAATTTCTATAACTTCACCTCTGCTAATGCAACAACAGATCAGCCGCGATCGGAACTTTGGCACTTGCAATTTTATTCCATACAAGCTAGCAATAAATAAAATTATTCTGAAAAATACATAATTCAAGAAACTTCACAAATGAAATTTTCAGGCCCTGTTTGGCCTTGAGGCTTGAATTAATATTATTCAGTCGCTCGGTGTTGACTTAAAACCATTTAATAGATGTGACGTAATACTCATAAAAGCAATTTATCGCTACCTAACCAGCATCGCTAATCGTGTGGCTGCAACATACACGTGTACAATTTTACTATGTGCAGTCTTGCTTGAAAACTACCAGGGAGTAATAATAACAGATATAATCAAATTTAATGAAATTTATCATGAAATAAGTTTAATTATAAGTTCTGGAAATGATTGTCATATTTTTCAATTCGATTAGTATCATCCTGTGAAATTCGAAAAAGCTGGTCAGGATATAGAAAAAATAATTTTGATAGGTATTTTGTATGAGTATGAAACGTGGTCTCTTCCGCGAAGAAGACAAACTAAAAGGAACTGAATAAATGTGCTCGGATGAAGCAAATGGGCGTTGTACAATATTAAATAACAAGGAAATAGAAAGTAATTTAGACGTCGACAGGTCTTCTAATGCAGTTTCGTTAGGTCAGTGAATGCTAGAGGATTGCGTTGGGCCAGGCATTTGTCTGTTTTGGGGGAGACATTGAATGCATACAAAATTTTGGTGAGGGGAAACGTTTTGGAAAATGTTTACTTGAAAGACGAAGGATGAGATGTGTTAATGGCATGTATCTTAGGAATATTGGTTATGAGGTTGGGGGATATGTTTATTATTTATAGATAAATTGTCAAGTAACGTATTTACGGGCCGAGAGACAAGGACCTACCAGGTCAGAATACCATTCTAGAGTTATACTTCCAAATACTATTTGAATTTAAAGTAGGTACAGGTTTCTTGTTAAAAGTTGTTTGTTCATGGTCTACCAGTTTTCCAAGCATTTGACAATAGAGCTTGTAGATGAATGACCATGGGTTCTTTGCCAAACATGGCTGTCATGCATAAAAGTGGATGGAACTATAAATTAATATTATCTAGAATTCTGAAAAATATTCTTCTTCATACTGACGTAATTTGACTGCTTGATATACGAAAAATATTTGGATGCAGAAGTTATTACCCACATTTCTGTATACAGCAATATTTATTTGAGTTTTTTGCTTTATAGTCGTACTTTAGCTTATGACATACACTAATTACAGATATTCATAGCTTTTAGTGAAATAAAGTTGAATACAGAGTGTAATAAATGCGTTTGTCAAAAATGAATAAATTGAAGGCCTCCTAGTTTATTGTAAGGAAATAGTAAGTTGACGGCCAAATGATGATTACATTTTCGCTTGTATCATCAAGCCATGGTCAAATTAAAATTAAACCATAAGAGTTATTAACATTGCACCGATCCGGTTATGAGGTCCAACATTCAGAATCCCAATATTTTAAACCGTACTCCTGTAAAATGAATTTTCAGGAAATGTTTTTAACAAACTTAGTCCTCCATTAATTAAAATTATTGAACGAAATGAGGCCTATTCTTTCTCATAATCCATGGTTACTAAATATACTTTCGTAGTAGAAGCTCAAACCAGTTTTGTGATTGGATAAATGTGTGACATGAAGATGGCTGTCTTCTGGGTTGTCGCGCCGTGTAGAAGTTTACGTCTACCGTACTACACGGCGCAACAGCCCAGAAGACCCATCTTCAGACTCACCGCCCTGAAAACCTCAAATCCTGCAGTGTGACATGACTTTACCTTTTTCTGGTTATCGCGTAGTAGAAACTTCCTGGTATCCATAGCACAGCGCTGGCAAACCTTTTCTCTTCATTGTGTAATAGAGTATCGTAATTTTCAATGGGATAGGCCTATTGGTTACGAGGACAGGGCGCTGAGGAGGACTTTTGACCACGGATGAGAAAGGAAAAGAGAATTGTATAATGTATAAGGGTGATCTTCCCTCTGCTCTTTACGAAGTATTATGGCGACCAAATAAAGCTTAGTCATACGGGCGGGGAATGTAGCACGCATAAGAGAGATGAGAAATGGATACATGTTTTTGGAGCAGACAAATGGTTGCTATTTGTGAA